GATGACCGTTTCGCTAACCCACAAATCACAGAAAAATTCTTTATCAAAACACCATATGTATTTACACTCAATATATTTGATCGCAAACTCGATCACATCATTTCTGAAGCACTAACCGACACACAAGCTTACGAAAGTTTTAAAGAAAAATTTCAATTATTTTCACTAACCTTTCATTTCCTTGCACCACACGAACGAGATTTGCACTGCTCACACGATATTATGTTACGCACTAAACAAACCCACACATATACATATTATAGCTTCATACAAAATCACTTTGATCTACACACTCTATCAAGACAACCACACCACCGTTTTCAATTTATTAACTCTAAATACACATCACCATTTTTTCTTAACTTCACATATTGCATCAAAGATACTAACCTTCACGGTATTCTTCGCAATTATGATCCCATAACCCAAATGTATATTTTTTGTCCCATCACAAAGACCTTCAACGCAGAAGAATCCAGACCCTTCCTTATCCCACATGAATTTGTTCAACCTATAGAAATCCCAATATTAGAATTCATCCACAACACTAAATACAATCACAAATTATATAATCTCATCCAAAACACACCTTATGATTTTGCAGTTGGCACTGAAGAACTAAAAACCATTAAAGCACTTCAATTGCTTTGGCCACTGCTTCAAACTAAAAACATCATTCGCATACTAGCAAAATTACTAACTCACTCCGACATATTACACGACATCTTCCCCCACGGTTTTTTCCCTGACGACTAACAGGTAAGTATAATTTCTATATATTCTTTACTAATAAATTCAAATTAAACACTAACCATTCTTTATCCATGTCTCATTTTGATTTTTAGTCTTCATCTCACGATCATCTGCAAAATAAACAAAAGAAAAATAAAAAATAGAAAACTTCTTCAAATTGTTCAAAACTCTAATAATCTTTTGCACCAGCTAAATTAAATAAAGTTCATACAAATGTAGTAAATTAATTTATAAATTATTTCCCTAAAAGCAGTAATTCTAATAATGATGAAAATTTGTAACTTAATTTTTCCCCAAAACTAGCAGTAAAATTGAAATTCTATGTAGTAAATTGATAAAACGAAAATGCAGTACCAACCTTTTGATATTTCCATTCACTCGCACAAGAATTCTATCCAAACTCGCACAGCTCGCCCACGAAGAATTATTTAAATAATGAATTTTAGTTTCAAGCTTTCACACTCAACAACTCTAACACACGATAACAAGTTTCAAACTTTCCTTTAACCCGGTTGGAAAGGAATTATATACTAAACAAAACTAACCAATGCAGCTTACTAAACACCACAACACATAGAATAACAGCATGACTAAGAAAAGGAAACCAACGGTACCCAAACCGGATTAACCCAGTTTAAAACTGGATAATTTATTCTTTTGAAGACTATTATAAAGTCTAAGAAAGAAATAATAAAACACAAAAAAGTCGAAAGACAAACCCATACCAAAAACAATTTGATTTTTGAGAAAAGGACACAACCAACGAAACATAAGAAAAACCACAATAAACCTAACATAAAAAGTTATCACATAACAGGACCTCTCACAGAAACCGCACGAAATCATACTCCCACTCCTGCTCTATAGCCGGCCTAACCCACCGCGCTACATCCACGCTTTGTGACCACATTTCTATTTTTAATAAGAGGTACTCAAGGGTGAGTAACTCTTCAAAATAACCGAACTAAAACAAAAAGCTTTTGTGAGAACAACTAACCAAAATCATAATTAAAACACCAAACTAATAAAAATTTTATAAAATGTAAATTATACCTTGCAGTATATAGATCAGCATACAACACCAAAGACGAACATCCAAAGACAAAATGAACCCACTACACTCGAAAAGAATGGCCAACCACAATCAATATGCCGCCCACAATCACAACTCAAAGGATTTAGAGTACGACTTGACTTCGCAGAAAAGGACTTCATTGAAATAGAACAATGACCACCTCGATGTTCAAGTATACGTACAGATCCGAGTAATCAGGCATCCCCTCCACGCATAATCTCCACGCCATTCCCAGACAAGGTCAACCCAAAAGAAGTTCTCTACATGGAACAGAAAAACCTGTCATAGCCAACCATTCTGAAATCAGATTTGAGTTTGTTGCGAAAACCCAGTCGTTGTCATGAGAAGACACAGCGATTGAACCTGGAACTTCTCTAACAAGAGAACCCAGAAGAAATATGATGTTCGCCAAAAACCAACGTCCATCATCCATCCTTTGAATTGCAGAAAGACGATTCTAAAAAAAAACTCTGTAAAACCCGGATGGGTGGAACCTGATTTAAACTACATTTTATGATTGGATAAATTAGATATTTTACCACTGTAAAGTATTTAATATTAACCAATCATGATCCATCTAACTAACAACCCACTTATTTGTAAGTGCTGAAATTACTTGTAATTTCAGCACCAGAGAGATTTGAATTTAACTTAGAACTTAGTTGCCTCTTCGAGAGAACTTCAGCAGCCGCAATAAACCAGAATACTCTAGATCTATTGAGCCTAGCAGAGACTAGTTAAACAACCTGAGACTAGATAGTATAAGAGTAAGATTAGGATCGGTATTAGACTAAGAAGTTGCACGAATCTATCCGGCCGAAAATAAGATAGCGTGACGAGCAGACGGTGTACCCTATCCGAAATTACTCTATGAGTTAACCACATCGGTCCTAACTCACTCATCACTTCGTTTTATATAAATGGATCCATATGAGGATGTATTTCAGTTCTGGGGATATTTTTAATGTTTAATTTTGGTGCCTCGTCTAAGCCCGATCCTTCTAAAAGAGTGACACAAAGTCTTGTCTGATATTGGCTTTTCAACTTCGCCCAATCTCTTCTGATTGGGTAACACGTGTTAAATGTTCAATTTCTGCTGTTGAGTGTGCCTGATTGCAACCCTTAGCTTTTGCTGATTCGCTTAGTTCCGGATTTAAAAGCCCGTACATGATCTCATAGATTGATTGCATGTTGATTGGGCTTCATCTGCAATCACTCCACCATAAAACTTTTTGCTTCCATCTGGATGTGTATTCTTCGGGTTCATTCGTCAAAAATGGCATACTTTAATCTTCATTTATGTCGGGTTTGAAATGGTCTTTCGTTTGCTTCTTTCCCAATTTGGTTCCAGTCTTTTTACCAATTTTTAAATCTTGTTTTTATCGATTAATCTGCTGCTTTGATTTTCCGCTTCTAGATTTTTTTCTCTTGTCTCATTCGTTTGTTCTACTTTAGTTTGTTCTCATTTTTTTGAGTGAGAACAAAAACTTCTTTTTCGTTTCTGTAATCGTTTTGATCCGTCTCGACCTTTTTATTAGTAACTCTCTACTGATACAATGTGAAACGTTCCCCCTCTGCCTATATTTGTTAGCTACGATATCAAGAGTAAGGGTACGTTAACTTATTGGTATAATGAAAAACCATTGGTTCTGATTCAGATATTGGCAACGCTCAAGGTCAGCACAGATGATGTCATCATACGAAGACAACTAATTCGTTATAAGGCCTTAAAAGAAACCGTAGCAATGATCTTAAACGACTAAATGAAAGTTGTCATCCAAAATATTTGGATAAAAATAAAATAATTCAAACTGTTTTTGACTGATTTCTAAAAAAACTTCTTTGGCTTAACTCATCCTAATTTTTTGTGTTCACTGTCACCTTAATTAACTAACCGAATCAGCGTAGGCGAATACCAACCACCAGCCACAGAATTGCCATCAGCACACATCGACAACTTAGCTGGAGCATACCAGGTTTTAGCATTAGAAACTACCCCAGCCCCAATTAGAAGCTTAGTCGAACCCGAGCAAGACAAAAAAGGAAAAATATTTAAGGGTAGCCGGTAACTGTGAATGTAGCACAGACTGTTCCGACCAGTCTTAATAAAGTTCAAAAAAGTTTTCTCAATCTGGTGCCTTTTTCTGCGTGGTGTGACAAAAAATCTGAACAAAGTTATTTTGCAGAAAACTTTGAGTTTTGAGTTTTTTTACTCCCAAATTGGCACTTAAAACACCCAAACTAAATTTACTCAAATGAAACTAAATAAATTTTTACGGCTTAAACTAACCATAAATAAGCTATTCAATTTGATATATCAGTTGACTCATTCCAATCATTTTTGTGGCATCTGATTTTGCTTGGAAAACAAAATTTTCAAAATGGGCGAAACAATAATTTTTTTTCAAAAGGTCATCATACCAGCAAATTTTACAAAAACAATGTAAGAAGAGCCGGTTTTTTCTCAAAGCAGCACAGATTGTTCCGATCAAAATCTCTAAAATTTTTTTTTTTTTTGAAATTGGTGTAGTTTTTACTACGTGATGTTATAAAAATATCTGACGTAAAAATACATTACCCGTACCGAACTTTTCTCACAACTTCACGTCTGATCAAACAATTGTCTGACACTAGCTGTTTTTCAGCTCTGTGCATATCTCTTTCACATGTGATCACTTCTGCCATTTGCAGACTATACCTGAGTCAGACATGACTATACCTGAACAGATATGACTATAAATGGTCAGACATAACTATACCTGGTCAGACATGACTAAACCTGGTCAGAAATGACTATACCTGGTCAGACATGACTATACCTGAGTCAGACATGACTATACCTGGTCAGACATGACTATACCTGGTCAGACATGACTATACCTACTTCAGGTCTGATCATGTAGAAAACTTAGCGCCATGTAACAGCAGAAACACAGATGGATATAATATAGTCCACTGTAGTCTTACGATAAAACAACAAGCCGGCAGGGTTTTGTGATAAGGCAAAGAATCATGACTGCCTATTCTTAACTATTCACTTTGATCTTGTATGAATTGTTTCGGGAGCGACCTAGCTCCCAATCCAATCGGATAGTTTAAAAATTTTATGGTCCGAGCTGTTGTTTTTTTGTTATGTGTGAGTTATGAAGAAAAAAGATCCTTTGTTTCACTTATCGCTTCTCGGCTTTTTGGCTAAGATCATGTGTGATATCTGTTTTTGTCCGCTTAATATCTGGCATGCTGGGCATTGCCTGGCACCAATATTAAGCTGATTTTTGCTTCTCGAGTTAACACCGAAGCTTGCTTCGATTGACTCATAGATTGTCCCGGTCTTACAATACCATAATGATATGTCTGCTTCAGGTCATGTCATACAATTTCAGGCATAATTATGTCTGGTACAGGTGTGATCATGTAAAGTCAGGTATGATCATGTCTGCTTCAGGTATGATCATGTCTGGTTCAACTATGATCATGTCTGGTCCAGGTATGATCATGTAAAAACAGATCTGAAATATACCCTGGACAGGCCTGATCATACCTGGACCCGACCTGAAGAAGACATGATCATACCTGAATTTTTCCATAGTTATCATATCTGCACATGTCCGATTCAGACATGTACAGCGAAAAAAGAGACATGCCACAGGACTGATACAGATCTGAAAGTTGAATGAAATTTCGATTTCCAGATTTGAATTTAAGTAACACTTTCAGTACGGGTATAGACATTTTTGACAATTTTAGTAATATAGGCAATTAAAACAACAGTTTTAGAAGAAAAATGACAGGAAAGACAAAAAAAATTCAAAAATTTTCATTACGAGGCCAAAATATGCATTTTGTGAACTGTAAGCGGATTCCGCAACAAGGAAGAACCTTTTGTTCTTTTTTATTCGTTCCTTTTCTTTGATGGTTCTGACAAATTCTTAACTTGTTTAAAGACTTGTCTTTGGAATCTAGGAGCATACAGACTCAAAATTGTGCGCCTATCCATTACAGTTTGACCTCGTTTTTTTTGAAATTTTTTTCCATAATTCTTCTGAGTTTTTGAAGTTCCTGATTATAAAAATGGCCTTAAAAATCTCCAAAAACTAATTAAAATTAAAATTAGGCTCAATTAGGCAATTGCAAACGGCCCTAATTAAGCATATTAAGCGTGCTCGCCCACTTTACCTGCTGTTACAAATCTAAAATCTACAAATCTAAGACTTTAAACCGCCTTTTTTTGACTTTTCCCATGATTTTTCCCATGATTTTCTGTCGTAGCTGATTTTGCCTGGAAAACTAAAAAAAATTAAACAGACCCGAATACAAAGTTTTTCCTCGTCTTTCAAATAGTCGTAACAATAAGGAGATCTAATATTGAAAGTTAGCGTTAAGAGAACCACAAATTCAAACAAAGGGATTGCCTTACTCTTGATTTGTTTCAACTAAACTGCACTCTTCCTATTCAAAGAACTGTCAACGCATGTCAGTACATGTAATTTACCTAGTGTCCATGTAAAAGTTTTCTTCTCTGTTTTAATTCTACAGAAGCCTGCGATAACTTTGGATGCGATACGACACAAAAGCAAATGGTCTAGCAAATGGCTGACAATGTGATAAAAGGGCAGCTTAGGTCAATTTACCTGACTTGGCCAGTTAAATTTTATTCCAATCTTCGAGTTGTTTTCGGAAATTTCAATGAAACGAATTACCATTAGGTAACTCTCTGCTTCAAATTCATAAACACATCCGTATCCTTCTTTCCATTTTGAATTATTACCGAAATTTCTGTCGTGAAAATGACCGCTAACACAAAATTGTCAGGTATTTTCATAAAACTTAATTGTCAGTGTCCTTAGGCGGATTGCGGTTTCCCTAAAAAAGGATCATTGGTTAATTTGGCTTTCAAAATACAACAATTTTCTCCTAAAAACTCATTCCGATGTATTAGCTTTATGATCCAACTAAAATTGATAAGATTTAAATTGATCCAAATTAAAATGAATGTGCTTTTCGAAGCAACGGAGAAAATTTTTTTTTCTTCATTTTATAATGAGTTTCAATTCTCTTCATTTTTTAGGTCTCAGAGTGTTGTACTTGGCGTGGCAGTCGCAGTAGTATATAGCAGTGTTTTGACACAAAAACGTTTAGTCATAATTTAGACGCTATCATCTGGGGTTTTTTATTCCTGTCACGAAAAGAGGAGAAACTGTGTATTCTGTTTTTTCTTTGCCCCTGAAAAATTAGTCGTGATTACGGGGTGTGATAAAAACTTTCAAAATTATTTATCACTCGGGAAAGACGGCTTCGAGTTTCTTGCTTTTTGAAGGAACTGAGAGTGAATTCATGGCATATTAAAGGGAATCAACCGTACAATTGCGCTTGGCAAGATACTTAAATACATGCGGGCTAATCGATTTCTTTGCCTGCAAATTTCACCAAATACTTGAAAATTTATTTATAAAATAAACAACTGGAAAGTTTTTTCATAAATCTTTTGCGCATGCCTGATTTTGAATTTCTGTGTTGGTCGAAAGTTTTTCTTTTCGTCTTGTTCTGGTAACTCAAATGGTCGAAAATTTTTATATTAGTGGGTAGCTGGATAGTAAAAGATAGTAGTATTCAAGATAGCTGGAGAATTCGAGCCGAAAAAAATTCTTCAAATACTACTTTTTCGGTCAGCAAAAAAAAACAACGAAAGAAAATGTATACGTGGTTAGATTTTTGACTCAAAATATGTGGTAGACTCTTCAAGGTCAAAGTACATCAGCTTATATCTGAACACTCGATAATTTTTTGACCAGAGTTATGATAATAAAAAGTGCTGAGCATCGAAAAAAAAACATCTAAAAAATGATAAATAAGTCTAATTTTGCCTCATAATGTGTAATATTAAACATCAAGGTCATGTTTCATCATTTTATATCTCAAAAACTATTGATTTTTTCAACACGGGCGCGTATAATAAAGTTACTCATTATCAAAAAGTGTGTTTGAAAAAACTATGTAGTGCATTGCTCGAGTTTTGCCTCACCATGTATGTAATATGACTCATCAAGGTCATAATACATCAACTTGCATCTCATTAACTGTTAATTTTTTGACCGTAAACACGAACATGAAAGTTGCTCAGCAATGAAACCTATGCCATAAAAATTATGCTCTGATCCTTTGTTGCCTCATCATATCTAGTATGACTCATTAAGGTAAGGTTACTTCATCAATAATCTCTTTAACTGTTATTTTTTTCGACCATAGACCAGAATATGGACGTTGCTCAGTATTATTAACTACAATTGAAAAAATATACGTGGTTTGAGTTTTGACTCATTCTATTTGAACCATAGTTATGAACATGAAAGTTGTTCAGCAGCAAAATTTACGTCTCCAAAACTATGAACTGATCGAATTTCGCTCACCATATGTAGTAAGAATCATTTGGGTTGCTCAGCCTCATCAATTAGATGAAATTGAACCTGCAATGTTCTTTTTTGTTCTATCATGATACAAGGGTCAACTCATCAAGTTCATGTGTAGTTATTTGTTTTTGCTTTGTTTACTGATAAGTCTGGCATAAGAAAATCAACTTCGTTGCTATTTTATATCATTTTAGTGAAGAAAAACAAACAAATTCTGATCAGCATAAAATTGAGCTAAGTTTCTACCTCTTAACTACAAATTTTTATTTTGAACGTTAATCCCAAAACTGTCAAAACTGAAAATTGAGTCAAAAAACAAAATTTTTCATCTCCTGAGCTCAACATAAAGCATGTCGTACAAAAACGTAACTGCCTATATTGAGTTATAACCGATGTGGTTAACTCATAGAGTAATTTCGGATAGGGTACACCGTCTGCTCGTCACGCTATCTTATTTTCGGCCGGATAGATTCGTGCAACTTCTTAGTCTAATACCGATCCTAATCTTACTCTTATACTTTCTAGTCTCAGGGTGTTTAACTAGTCTCTGCTAGGCTCAATAGATCTAGGGTATACTGGTTTATTGCGGCTGCTGAAGTTCTCTTGGAGAGACAACTAATTTCTAAGTTAAATTCAAATCTCTCTGGTGCTGAAATTCCAAGTAATTTCAGCACTTACAAATAAGTGGGTTGTTAGTTAGATGGATTAAGATTGGTTAATATTAAATACTTTGCAGTGGTAAAATATCCAATTTATCCAATCATAAAATATAGTTTAGATCAGGTTCCACCCATCCGGGTTTTACAGAGTTGTTAGAATTATCTTTCTGCAATTCAAAGGATGGATGATGAACGTAGGTATTTGGCGAACATCATATTCTTGTCCGGTTCCTCTTGTTAAAGAAGTTCCAGGACGCTGGAGTTAGGAACATCAATCGTTGTGTCGTCTTGTGACAACGACTGGAATCCCCAATGAAATCAATCTGATTTCAAAATGGTTTGCTATGACGGGTTTTTCTGTATTATGTAGAGAACTTGTTTTGTGTTCAACCTCGTCTGGGAATGGCGTGGAGATCGTGTGTGGAAGGGATGCCTCGTAACTCGGATCTGCACGTATACTTGAACATCGAGGTGGTCATTGGTCTAGTTCAATGAAGTCCTTTTCTGCGAAGTCAAGTCGTACTCTCAATCCTTTGAGTTGTGATTGTGGACGGCATATCGGTTATGGTTAGCCATTCTTGTTCGAGTGTGATGAAATCATTTTGTCTTTGGATGTTCGTCTTTGTTGTTGTGTGTTGATCTATATACTGCAAGGTATGATTTACATTTTATAAAACTTTTTTAGTTCGGTTTTTTAATCATGAATTTAGTTAGTTGTTTTCACAAAAGCATTTTGTTTTAGTTCGGTTATTTTGAAGAGTTACTCACCCTTGAGTACCTCTTATTAAAAATAGAAGTGTGGTCACAAAGCGTGGATGTAGCGCGGTGGGTAAGGCCGGCTATAGAGCATGCTCAGGACATCCTCTCTGGTGGGTTAGGCCAGGAGTGGGAGTATGATTTCGTGCTGTTTCTATGAGAGGTCCTGTTATGTGATAACGTTTTATGTTGGGTTTATGTTGGTCTTTCTTATGTTTCTTTGGTTGTGTCCTTTTTTCAAAAATCAAATTGTTTATGGTATGGGTTTGTCTTGCGACTTTTTTTTGTTTTATTATTTCTTTCTTAGACTTTATAATAGTCTTTAAAAGAATAAATTATCCAGTTTTAAACTGGGTTAATCCGGTTTGGGTACCGTTGGTTTTCTTTTCTTAGTCATGCTGTTATTTTATGATTTGTGGTGTTTAGTAAGCTGCGTTGGTTAGTTTGCTTTAGTATATAATTCCTTTCCAACCGGGTAAAGGAAAGTTTGAAACTTGTTATCGCGTGTTAGAGTTGTTGAGTGTTAAAACTTGAAACTCAA